TTTTTACAATTAAAAACTCTAAAAAAATATCACATTTAATTTTTTCTATTACAGTTAAAAACGCTCAAAAAATATCACATCTCAACTCAAATTAAAAACTTAAATTCGCGAAACGAACAAGACCGTCCCTCAAAAACTTTCATATGATGCCTCCACTATTTAGTTTGAAATACATTACTAAATTTGTAAACTCAATAAAGCCGTTAATTAATCTCTTTCTATCTCTCCTTCTCTCTCTTCTTTATGAGAGTAGGGGACACTTGAAATATATATATATATATATATATATATATATAATTTGGTTAATTTCTTAGTTATTAAGGTAGAGGGATTTCAATATATATATATATAAAAGTTAGAGGTCCATATATATGAACTGAAAAGATATTAATATTGCTTGTGAGGGAAAATGAAACTCGTGACCAAAGTTATGTCAGAAAGGGAAATGAAATAGATGACTCGGAGAGATGAAAAACATGCTGTCTAGAAAGAGTTTTTGAAGAAGACAATGATAATGAAAGGAAAAAAGCTACTGAAATGCACTGCTGAAAAGTGAAAGTTCAGTGAAGATTTTTGAAGGTTATGTTTAGGCACTTAAGAGATTTAACCAAAGATATTTTTTTATTTTTGGAATTATTTTTGTTTTGGGCGCTTAATTACTAGCAAAGCTCATTAAGTACTCAAAACAAAAATGTACCAGCAATATTTAAAAGATATTTTGCCCTTCCAGTGTTGTGCTAATTCATTGCCAGTTTGAAATTAGCAACAAATTTTTTTGAATGTAAAAAACATTTCATTAATCAACAGAGAACTCAATACAAAAAAATTGATACAATAAATTAAAATCGGTAGATCCGTTAACGTCTTAGTACAAGGATTTAAGATCTGATAATGGACACAATTTAGAGCACTTCTCTTGACTTGTTTAATTCTCTATCCACAATTGGCACTCTGAAAGGGCTATAGCAAACTTTTTACAAAGACCGATCTCTAAAAGCCATTATTCTTTCAGATCAAGCTTGTCAAAGCGAGAGATCTTTCTTTATCTAACTAAAGACATATAAAAGATAAAAAAAACAACACAAAATCCACACAACGTTATAGCTTGGTGGGGGAACACAACCAAAAACAACAAAACAACCAAAGCCTGTTGGTTTTGAAAAATGATTTTCTATGCGAAAACGTGTATCTAGTTGATCGTGTATAACAAAAATTTTAATAAACCTTTGAGATACTCTATAGAATACATTAATTTATGCAGGAATAAATTAATCAAATTAATTTAAGAATAAATTTACCTAGCGAACGATTAGGTCAATAACTTGAGTTCTTTGACCATGAACATTCCTCACTACAAGCTTGTTTAGAATACCCGAATCTTTCTCTTCAATTCCTTGAATCTACGAAGACGTATGTGTGGGCACACCTGAAACAAAATAGAATTAGCATTTAAAACACTCAAGTCTTCTACAAACACCAACTCATGCACGACGTGGAATTGAGAATATAACTTCTCTATTTTTTCTCTTAAGTTACGCACCCACCTCTAATAGGTTACATACTAACCAACTGCGTGTTACATGCCTACACTAGATATGTTACACACCATCTGTAGGGAAGGGAGTGAAAAATTTACACACATGTCACTAGCATGTTACACATTGTCTGATAGAATGTTACACGCCCGTAACTAGCTTCTTACACGCCTATCACATAGAGGAAGGAAGAAAAATTATGTTCTCCAATTTTCTGCAATCTCTTATTTTTATAGAGTACCTCTCAGAGTCTTAGAAAAACTTTATCTTATCTCTTAAGATAAGGTTTTAGAAAATAAGAGATAATATTTAATTTTAAATCCTATTTAAAATCAAATAAAATTTTCATTTAATTTTAGAACAATTTTCTCTCTCCTGTTGTAGATAAAATTCGGCTTCCACAGGGATAAGCCCCATATAGTTGGTGCCTACTGTAGATAAGGAGGAGATAAAATTTCTCCTTAATCCAGTTGTCCAATTTTGATTCAAAATTTAAATTCAAATTAAAGTCAAACTTAAATTCAATTTTGAATTTCAATTGAATAACTTATCAAATAAGTCAACTAGATAACTTAGAGAGCAAACAACTGAATTCCAGAGGGATTCTAACAGTGTTGGGCGTGTGACACTTGTAATCTTCATCACATATGTGTTCCAAAATTTAAATTAAATAATCACATTATTTGATATCTAATTAATTCTCAATTAATTATTTTTGAGTGTTTTATTTAGAATTCCATAATTCTAAAAAACTTCCATTTTGTCCTTAGTGTCTTGTAGATTTACAAGGACGACGCGGGGACTCATGGACCTATAATTCTAAGCTCCAATAAAATTAATAATTAATCAAACTCTTTAATTAATTAATTAATTTTATTAATTACAAAGTTACTCCACTATAAACTTGGAATTGCACCCTCGTAATTATAGATATAATTTACTTTCAAACTTTGAAGTGTCCATTTGATATAACCACCACATATATCAATCCTCCATGAATAATTCATAATTAGAGTTAGGTGAAATCCGTTAACCTCTCTAACTACATCTTTATCATTGGGTACCATTCATTCTCTAATGAATAGTATATTCATAAAATAAATTCATGAATACGAGCTTGTTATCGATTCAAGTACCGAATCAAGCCTCAAAGAAATTATTTATATAGTTCTTTATTCAAGAAGGAATATATTCCATCTCATATATTAACGTTCTTGACTACCTACTTCATCATGTCTCCAAGATATAAGAATATGATTTAGAATCTCAAAATCCGTACCGAATAAATCAAAAGACAAAAATCTATAAATATGAGTCTGCTAATAACTCAGGATTTAGATCGTTTTATATATGACCATCGGTAGACTCAATTTGAATTTCTATACTTAATAGAAATTATCAGAAATTTAAATTGTGTATGTGTCTCGGTTTCACATAATTACGTTATCTGTAATACACTCATTCAATATCCCTTCATATTAACAGTGCGAATAACACTGTTCCACTCTTAATGGGAATGACATGTATTAGTAATGTTTTAATTAAAGATTCTGAAACTTTAATTAAATTCATTACGAACACATTTCGATTATTTTTCTTAAATATTATCCTCTCGTATATAACTCTTATATACAATATTTAAAGTTACGTGAATACATGCGGAATTTTCAATGATATTCATAAAGTATTCAATAATACATACACATAAATAATGAAATTTCTCTTTTATTATATAAATAATAATATCCTTTATTACATCTCATATTTTTAGGATACAATACCCAATAAAGCCCACACAAATATAGCGATTTGTGGGGGAAAATAAACACCAACACCAACACCAACACCGGCAGAATTATGACTACCTTTATTCCACGAACAACTAAAAAAAGAGAAGAAAACACCAACACGGACTCCATCATCGTGTAGATTGGCCGATGTAGAGCTCGTGGTTATACTTTGGGGGCCGGCTGATTAGAGACGCGCTTCTGGTAGCCGGTCAGACTATTCTCCTTCTTCCCCGCTCTCTCTCTCTGTGGAATTCTCTCTCACTAGAAACCTTGTTCTATATATAGGTGTAAGTTTAGGCCGTCTGGCCTAGCCCGGGTTGGGCCCGACAGTCCAAAAGGAAATTTCAGGTCAGGCCGGCCCTAAAAGAGAGAAGGTTGGTCCGGCCCGACCTAAAATTTTATAAGGTATTTTTTAAAAAAATCTTTAAAAATATGACGTTCATGCTGGCTCGACCCGGCCTTAAATGTGAGAGGGTCGGTGTAGTCCGGCTCTAAGCCCAAAAAATTTAGGATAAGGTCAGATTCAGGCCAACAGTAGCAAGTCTCGAACCTGTCCTTTTAGTCCGACCTAAATTTACCGCTCTAATTCTGTACAACAAAATTTCAAAATGTATAATGATTCTTTAGGGGGGGGAAAAAAGGCATATATAATTGTCTCTCGAAGAAAATCATATCCTTTATCTTGTTTAACCAAGTAAATAAAGTTTTAAAAAAATATTAAAATGTGGTTACATGAATGATATGATAATATGATAATATTCCTTTCCAATTCATTTGTCCTGGAAAGAAAATTTTATATGGGCCCAGTAAGAAAATTCTGTCTTTTGTATGTTTTCTCTTATTTGCTCTGCGTGAATCAAGCACTCAAAAATGAGATTAATTAGGATTTTTTTCTAAAATCTTTCCTTTTAATTGCCCGGAAGCCAAAATAGGGTTTAAAGTCAAAGAGATACATCATCACAAAAGTCAAAGAAAAGAATTCATGATCATCATGATTAAAGAGTGATTTTTAAAGTAGATGCTTGCAATGATGTAAGCTCTTCAACGGCTTAAGAATCCAAGAATGACCAAGTGCACACCAAGATATATCTTTAGCGTGTATATATATATTTCCCTTTTAGTGTGTATATATATATGTGTATATATATATATATATATATATTTCCCTTTTACCCAGGCCAGGAAACGGCAAATATTGCTTCAAGTTTAGCTGTCACATCAACATGGTTCATCCTCTTTATTCCTAGAACAATAAAGACTTCTTTGATAGGATGGGAAAGAAATACGCCATTAGCATTGTTTTTGACTATCAGATCTGTATTAAGTTAAAGTCAAATTTGTATTATTTTTTCATTCTAATATAGGTTTTATGTAAACTAAAGTCCAAAATCATACCATACCGTTTGGGGGAAAAAAAAAAATTTCCCACTTTACCATAGAATTATCCTAATAAACGAGGATTTGTTTTTCTAAGTATTGAATTAGAAGCCCCATTAAATCACCAACTTGTGCATCTTATATTGTTGTCAAAATATACTTAATGAGTGTGTTTAATATTCTTTGAAAAGAAGAAAGGTATCCTCCCAAATTGCTAACCAAGAAAAAAGGAAAAGAGTCTCAAGAAGATGAACAACTGAAGAAAAGTCATTTCAATTACTAATGATCACAGTACAAATCTAAAACATCAAGAATAGTTTTAATTTATTACAATATTGAATGAATCATCCAGCTTGTCCTATATCATACACAGCAAAATAATTAAAAATCCGTACATATTTCAACAACTGGAGCCCTGGAGGAGTACAAACCTTTGGTGAACCTCCAATATTTTCTAAACACACTAATCAAGCAATAGGCTGATCACTATATATACACGGTCTCCTTATACAAACCATATATAAAAATATTCCTAGCCATAATAATAAATAAATTAATTAGTAGAGATTATTGTGATTTTCTTTTTTCAACCCTTAATTATGATGTAAACTTGATGAGAAATTACAAGTCTATCCTCTGCTTTATTTCGGTCTAAAAGAGGCAGTGGAGGGCAATACTTGCTGGGAAACCATCATATTATTCTTTGTGTTCTCATGATGATGATGATGATGGTGTTTTTGTTGTTGTTGGTGTTGTTGTACTCTTTGGGATTTTGCATAATATGAATTGCCAAATCTTCCGTGCCTTTGCTTATTATTCCTTCTGGGCTGAGTTTGCTGGGGAATGAAAACACCAGTTCCTTTGCTTTCCCTTCTGCAGATTTGCTCATACAGAAACTGAGTTTGTACTGGTGGATGTATTTCGCAAGAAAAGGCCTGAAAAAAAAAAAAAAGGGATTTTTTTTAGAATTTTTGTTTTTGTGATGCTTGATAAATAAGGGGATTAAAAAAAAAGAATATTAATTAATGAACCTGGTGGAGAGAAACTGAAGGGCAATGAGCAAGTGGGTCTTCATCATCATCCATGATTAGAAGAGAAATCTGCTTGCTTAAGTCTGCAAAGAACAAGTCATCTTCTATTTCAGCAGCCACTTCCATTTTCTTTTCCCTTCTTTCTAGCTAAGGAGATAGTAAGTGTTTTTTTTTTTTTTTTTTTTTTTTTTTTTTTCCCCTTTTTTTTTTTTTTTAAGGAAAAAAAAAAAGGAAGAAAAAAAAAAATTTTTTTTTTTTTTTTTTTTTTTGCCTAAGTTGAGATGGAAGGGTGAGTGTAACTAAATACTACATGGGGGGTGTTTTAGTGCATGTGGGTTGGTGGGGTCCATTAGTGGCAGTTGGCCAATCTGTCTTTTTAAGTCCCCACTAGTCTCTACCCCACAAGAATCATGTAAGTGTGTCATGATATTATCCGGTAGCCCAAAAGAGAGATGAGATGAGGAACAGCCGGCAACAACCCACACCCAGATATGACATGATCTAATCCAAGATATCACTCCAATCTCTTAACTCTGGCTCTCACTTGGTTGGACTTGGAGAACACTTCTCTACCTCTCATCCATTTTCCTTCAAATTCAAACAAAAGCCACAACACAACAAAGGACCATTATTCTTTTATATTGCTGGCTCAAGATTCATAGTCCACACAAATTTTTAACACAAGGCAACTAGATACCCTAACTTCCTTGTCTAATATCATAAATACATATAATGCATGTGTGTGTGTACATACACATATATATATATATATGCTACTATAACTCATGAAACTTTGTGGTGGTTCATCATTCATGACAAGGAAATTTGAAGATCCCCTCCAAACCGCAAACTTTGTAAAAGACAAAGGTTAATTAAGTTAACTTTGAAAATGAAAGCTATATATGCTTCAAAGGGGTCTACTTTAGGTTTTCTTTTGGGGAGTTTCTCTTGCTGGATTAGAAAAAATCAACTACCGATAATTTTTTACTTTTCGGCCGTTAAATTTGTTGCAGAAATTGTCAATACATATTTTTTTTAATCTGATGTGATTTTAACCAGATCAAACAGTCAGAAACTAAAACTATCGTTAGAAAGCAAAAAAAAAAAAAAAAAAGACAGTAAATCTAGGCTAAATTTCATTTTGAGATATATAATTTTTTTTATATATAAGACAATGTTTAAAACCAATAATTTTTTTTATACGTTCTGTCAGTCTTGTATATTTTTTATTATAATATGATTTTGACAAGATTTAACGTTAAAGAAGCTCATAATATTCTTCGGTAGAAAGCTCCAAATATTGGTGGCTGTATATGTAGATGACATTATTGGATTTACCACACACTTGGTACAACATGTCTACTAGACTTTTAGGGGGGAGGCAAACGGTGGGCTATTATGAAACAATTGGAGGAAGGTGGGCCAGAAATCATAATTAAGAAAAATAGACACTTTTGTTACAGTTACAACTCTGCATGGAATTAAGAAGCCATATTTGTAGTATTATAAACCTCTAGTTGTGAGAGAATCAAAATTAATTTCTTTTTAAAAACCTTTTTGTTTTTTTGGTTTTATTTATTTACTAATTATTTCCTTCTTTCCATTTTACGGCAAAGAGAAAGACTAAAAGGGGATCGATAAAGAGAAAAATCAAAAAAGGGGGTGGGTCAATGTACAAGCATTTATTGACTAACATGTATTATCACAATCTTTTCCACTTTGTTCGGTAAACTTTTTTAGCTGGGCTTTTGCAGTGGGGACTTCACTCAAAAAATAAATAAAAAATAAAAAATAAAAAAATAATAATAAAGCAAGTTGAATTATAGGTGTTATGTGGTCCACATCCCACACGGTTTGGTGCCTGGCCAAGGGACCCATCCATTTGCTGCTATGCATTAAATATAACTGCATGGAATTTCATGACCCCCAAATATGGCTCTAATTAAACTTGTTTACTTTATTTCCTCATTCCTTGGAAATGGAATGTTATTTTCACAGTTAGCAACTTGCACTTTCTATTTATTCTTTCCAATTCTTATGTGTGTAGTGACTCGCCCAAAGCAACACTCAACTTAACCTACAAAGTTTTAAATACACCACATTTTTCAGTCATTAAATAACGATAGATAAAAAAATGAAAACGGAAAAAAGTATGTTAGCCGCCGTGATAAAAATGGTCATCTTTGACTATTGATTAATATCTTTTTAATTTTTTTATACGTTCTGTCAGTCTTGTATATTTTTTATTATAATATGATTTTGACAAAATTTAACGTTAAAGAAGCTCATAATATTCTTCGGTAGAAAGCTCCAAATATTGGTGGCTGTATATGTAGATGACATTATTGGATTTACCACACACTTGGTACAACATGTCTACTAGACTTTTAGGGGGGAGGCAAACGGTGGGCTATTATGAAACAATTGGAGGAAGGTGGGCCAGAAATCATAATTAAGAAAAATAGACACTTTTGTTACAGTTACAACTCTGCATGGAATTAAGAAGCCATATTTGTAGTATTATAAACCTCTAGTTGTGAGAGAATCAAAATTAATTTCTTTTTAAAAACCTTTTTGTTTTTTTGGTTTTATTTATTTACTAATTATTTCCTTCTTTCCATTTTACGGCAAAGAGAAAGACTAAAAGGGGATCGATAAAGAGAAAAATCAAAAAAGGGGGTGGGTCAATGTACAAGCATTTATTGACTAACATGTATTATCACAATCTTTTCCACTTTGTTCGGTAAACTTTTTTAGCTGGGCTTTTGCAGTGGGGACTTCACTCAAAAAATAAATAAAAAATAAAAAATAAAAAAATAATAATAAAGCAAGTTGAATTATAGGTGTTATGTGGTCCACATCCCACACGGTTTGGTGCCTGGCCAAGGGACCCATCCATTTGCTGCTATGCATTAAATATAACTGCATGGAATTTCATGACCCCCAAATATGGCTCTAATTAAACTTGTTTACTTTATTTCCTCATTCCTTGGAAATGGAATGTTATTTTCACAGTTAGCAACTTGCACTTTCTATTTATTCTTTCCAATTCTTATGTGTGTAGTGACTCGCCCAAAGCAACACTCAACTTAACCTACAAAGTTTTAAATACACCACATTTTTCAGTCATTAAATAACGATAGATAAAAAAATGAAAACGGAAAAAAGTATGTTAGCCGCCGTGATAAAAATGGTCATCTTTGACTATTGATTAATATCTTTTTGATTAAATAATTATATTAGTAAAAAAATAAATTAATAAAAATTCAGACTCGTGCACTTGTTTAACAATTTTCTCTTCATTGTTTATTAGATTTTAGTAGCTGAGATTTAACAATTTTCTTTTATTGTCTAACTTTTTATGTGTCTATAAACGAGTCCTAAGCTTTATTTTGCAGCATAAAGACATAATAGACAAGGTTAATATAATACGTCTGATACGCTAATGAAGATTGGAGTTAGGTGCCAATTTATTGAGGAATATTCTAGTTACGAGAGTAGTTATGGCTGGAATCTAATTAGGAAGTAGTTGCTGGTACACAAAATTGAATGAACAATTCTCCAAGTGAGCAACTATAGAAATTTGGCCACTACAATTCAATAAGACAGTTTCTTCCTAGTTCCCACTCTTCTTTTTTTTTTTTTTTTTTGGCTAAGGAAAATCCTACTCTATTTATTTACCCTTAAACGCTTTGCAGCAAAACAACCCTCCCTATTATCATTAAATGAAAATATGTATTCACCAACCAACCAAAAAAAAAAAAAAAAATTTGCATGAAAATATGTGGTCATTCAAACATTCATGATGAAATAGAACTGCTCTTCAGACTTTAGTAGGTTCTGCCTTTTAACAGAAATTCTTTCACCTTGGAGCTTCACAACCCATAACTTAAAATCTGATTTTTCGTACCGTGGGGGTCAATAATTGTGACCAGAAAATATCCACAATAATATAAAGCTAACCGTAAAAGTAGAAAAACCTTGTAGAATGTTTTTTTTTTTTTTTTTTTTTTTTTCAAAACTCGAAGATAATTAGATTTTTTTCATAAATGCCTTTTGAACTTTGTATTCTTTGTATTATGTTTCAATATACCTCCCGAATTTTGAAAATGGTTCATTTCACCTCCTAAAATATGAAAAGTGATTCAAAACACCCTCTAAACTAATTTCGTTTCATAATACCCCTAAAATATTGATTTTGTGTCAACTTACTCCACGAGACAAGTGGACTCAAAAGTAATAAATAACCTATGATTTTGTTGTTTCATACGACATAAATGAACCAAGACAGAGAAAAGAGCATCAACAAGAGAGCTATCCAAAGTGGCTAGTAATTATAATTCACAACCTAATGTGTCTTTGGTCAAATGGAAGTTACCTGCAAAATGAACTTCACCTCATGGGTGATGAATTCAAGGATTTAATCATTTAAGGGGATAAGTGAAAAAAAAAAAAAAAAAAATTTACAAATATGGAAATCTATTTAACCTTGCCCCACCATTTTATCCCCCCATCAAAGATGCAATAATTGCAAAAAGACAGAGAGAGAGCAATGTCTTTTGAAGTCTTTCCGAGTTCTAAGCTCCAAATTAGATCTAGATCGAGTACCCAAAAAAAAAAAAATTTAAAATAAAAATAAAAATAAAAATTATGCCCCACCAGCTGTATCCATATCTGCAACTCCATCAACTCCCTTGAAAACAACACGTAATTTTCTCAAACAGGAAATCTTCTTGTCACTCGTAATGATTGTACCAGTTGCATGGACAACATCCTTGGAAATTTTACCCATCAGGTCAAAAAGTGGCAAGCCTAGGTTTGATCTGGTCATCTCCTCAAGCACTGGAGGTGCCTGCATGTATAGATTCTTCCCTCGATGTGAGATGCTCGCCTTCGACAACTGCAGCTTCGGGTGCTCCTCGAGTAAACCGATAAACTGTCACCACACAATACAAGCAAACGCACCAATCATTGATCAAAGCTCGGTCATCAACATCCCAGATTACTTAAACTCTTGTTTTGACAGATTGGGCAAGCAACAACAAATGTCTCTATCAATTTCTTTGATTTACAAGCATAAATGCACATGGTTTTGGAGATGACGCAAGGACTTGTCACAGCACATGCCTTGCTCTACTCTATTTAAAATTAAAGATGTAAACCTTGTTGATGGAGACCCAGAGGCAATTGAGAAGAACATTAAAAAAATGAGGAAAATGAAATGGATGAAGCATGACAGATCAGTACAGAACGAGGACGTTTCCGAGCTTCCTAACGAAAGATAAAGGGGAACTTTCTTTCTTTCTTTCTTTACATTTTTTAATTATTTAGATTAGATAAGGAATGTATGAGGAACTTGCTAAAACAACATAACACCGCCAGACAAAGAAGAGGCAGTTAAGAGAGACTTCGGAATGCAGCTCCAGAGAAGGATGACCCCACCAAATAATTAATTTTTCAAAACTTATAAAAGAAATTAAGAGATGTACGGATAATACAACCATAAGTTTAAAAACCTAAAATTCATTGGACAACCAAGTGAGGCATCTTTGTTTTAGGGGGAAAAAAGAAAAAAAAGAAAAAAAAAGAAAAAAAGAAATCAACACACATGATGTCCTTTAACGCAAAAGCTTCAAAACAAAAGCTCAATTCTTACGCTAGATATTCTAAGAATCCTTAATATGCATTTCAATTACCATCACAGCAAAAGATGCAACTTTGGGGGATGGATTGAATAAACTCAACTAAATTAGAAGAATAAAGCGAGGACCTAGTGGAAGGCAGCAATATCAGCCTCATTGAAAAGAACAGGATCTAGACTGAAGCAAACTAGTGTCTCTAGGCTCATCAACACAAGTTTCCACAAACAATTATCCAAAGACTGAACAAAACCGAGTGAGGTATTGGCTTAGTAAGATAATGCATTAACCAAGATGCACAAGTGAACGAAACCAACTAAAGATCAAGTAAATTCAGATTCTTTTTCCTTTTACCACCTTAGCATAACAAAGATAAGCAGAGGAAAAGTAAAACAATAACAATGCTCTCAAATTTAAATTCCAAGAATAACAGCAGTTGAAAATAACCTTTTCTAATGTTACTGAAGTCTCTAGCTCAACCAGAACTCCTGGACCACATACAAGACAGTCCTTGTCCTTGACAAATTCGGTCACTTTAGTGTGGAGACCTTCCGCACCATTGTACCTAGAAATGATTTTGATCAGTGAGTATTAAGTAAATGCTTCCCTTAACAATAATAACCATGAAAGAACGAAACAACAAGAGAATGAAATTAGCATAATTCCTCCAAATTATACTTAATGTTCAACTCCGGTGTATGGTTTATTGCCAGAGAAAGAAAATTGTGAAACGCTCTTCATGTCATGGTTCAGCTTTAGTGCAAGAATGAGAAAAAGAATAAACTCTGAAGAAAGTAACACAAAGGCCCCGTTCATTTCACCGATTCGAGTTTTGCTACAGAAAAAAGCTTTTAGAAACAGTCACATCTAACATTTTTGCTACCATAAAAAGCTCTCATATAAAGTCACATCTCAACTCGAATTAAAAACTCGAATCAACGAACTAAACGGGCCCAAAGTTCCCACAGGAGCCCATCAATGTTTCTATGTTTAACAGATAATATTAAACATAAAAGACACCAACATGGTTGAATATTCGCAAATAGAGCACCCATGCTATGATATACAGTACAAATATGAATGTATGATGTCACACATATTTACCACATCGGGGACTACATTAATGAGTTCAATTCAAGACATCTAGAAGAGAAAAGAGGACTCACGTTAAGTAGTTTGACAATGTTTTGCTGCATCCAGATACGATCTTCAATGTTTCTAGTGCACAAGCAGCTGAAATAATTGCATTGGTGGAAGCAATGGCAGGTATGATATTCTTCACAACACCCTATAAACCACATGAATTACTATGCTTATCACAAAAGGGGAACAAATATGCAGAACCAAAGATATGAAGCCTCTTAAGGCAGCTTACAACCGGCCATAAATTTCTAGTTTTCTCGCTCTTCTCCCCCTCGTAAAAATACAAGAACAAAAGATTGAATCACTTTCAATCTTAAAGAAGACCAAGACCAAAGTACACTCTCTTTTTTGAAATTTTAGCTTTTTAAAGAGATATCCTTAAGCATTTATATATATATATATATATATACCTACCTGAGTAAGAGAATAAGTAACTCCTGGAATGCCAAAAAGCTCAGCTCTCTTTACAGCCTACAAGACATAAGAAATATAAGTGAAATAATGAATTACCCGGGGGGGGAGAGAAACACTATGTAATTCTTATCTACCTCATCATAGACCCACTTCATATGTTCCGGGTCATCAGGATCAAAAGCCTTTCCACTATGAACCTGCAAGTAAAATGCATATATGAGTGGCATAACAATCAGTTCTCAGAAAACTCATTAAGAAAAAGCAGAAAAAGGAGAGAGACCAAACAAGAGAGAAAAAAAAAGGAAGAAAAAAGAGGAAATTGAGCATAAAAAATCAACAACAATTATCTTACCTCATCCCATTTAATTAAGTGAGCATATTCAATACAATGAGCAGCATTTCTAGGCGTTTCTGCAAGGGTGCATAAAGGGAACTTCACTTGAGGAGGGAAAAGCCAGATGGTACACTCAAAGCAAGGCGTCACCCCTGGCATGATGACCCTTGCATGGCCCTTAAAACCCTCAGTGCCACCATCTACCATAGGCTTGATTGTTTCTTCTAATGGGTTATCATTAGAATCATACTCTATATTTTCACCCAGGTAAAGGAAAAAAAAAGATCAAAATAAAAATACTACATTAAGCCAATGAGATATAGAAAAAGAGACATTTTTTGGAAGTTAGGAAATGAAAATACCAACCCAGAAAACTACAAGCTACAGCATTAATGTAGCTCCGAGCCTCAATAGAATCAAGACCAAGGGCAATAATGTTGAAATTACTATAAAAATCAAGCTCTTTGTCTTCAATCCTGCCAAAGTGTGGCACAATATTCACACCACTAACTCTTTCCATGACATGTTTTGCAGCCACCTCAGCCTTAGGCTTACCAACGTCTTCAAGTCTACAATAATAACGCAACTTAAAGTTAACATGGAAACTATTCCCTCAAAAAAAAAAAAAGTGTTAGCATGCAAACTAGGAACATAATTCCCAAGGCAACTTATACGGTTGCTTAATGTGTCGGAGCAGGTCTGGGGACGGGGAATTCTTTCCCATCCGCATCCTGCTAAGGAAAGGTGAAGACGAATCGGAGAATCCTCATTGGGGGCCGCTTTTCCCATACTCGCCCCAATCCTCACCGTGATGCTTATCATCGATGAAAACTTGAATAATTTAAAAACAAAAAATATGTTGAAATTCATTCTAAATTCAATCCAAATGTAATGTTTTCACAAAACAAACCAAATTCCAAGTTCCAATAAAACACATATAGAAACAATATTATTGTTAAGGTTAATACTAAATACATGTGGTAAAATTTTTATAAAAAATATGTATAAGGTAGCCGGGAGTGTTCCCCGTCCCTTCCCCGACCCCAACTCGAGAACAAGAAATCGTCCCCATTTCCGCCCCAAACTCCATTAACAATCCCCCATCCCCGCCCTATTAGGGGCAGGTCCCGCGTGGAAATTACCATCCCTTTATATAACAAATTAATTAATAAAACTAAAAGACTTGTTAGTACAAGGCAGTAATGATAAAAACCAAACAGATAGCAGCTAACACACGCAGAGCACTTAGTGCAAGGTCAACAGGCATTATCTAAAAATAAAGCAAGTTAAAGAAAAAAAAATAATCACTTTAAACGACATATAACAAAGCATACTGCAGTTCTTTGCTCCTCTAATCAAATTTATCAGTAAAATTGCTCAAACAAATTCAAGGTACCATTTTTACAAAATTGGAAGAAAAAAAAAATCAAGGAAAAGAAATAACAGTTACTATAAAAAGACATTGTTCATCAGCAAAATGTAAAAATAAACCTGAAGAGGAATTGACGATTGAGATTGGAAACCTCAATACGATCCATATCTATGACCTCGAGCTCTCTAAAACCAGACAAAGCCAAGTCCTTAAGCAGCTCACACCCCAATCCACCAGCCCCAACCACCAAAACCTTCACTAACTCTTTAAGGTCCTCTCTCAGCTGAAACACCACAAAACAAAAAACATCAAACTAATCGCTTTCTAAATCAAACCCAGAACCAAAATCGCACAAAAACAAATTGCGGACGAGGAATTTTGCAGGGAAATGACTTCGAATGGAAACCCAGAAACCAGAATCGACATGCGGACCAAGTGTTTGTGGAAATGTCAGAGAAAAAAATAGGTGGGTTTTTTTGCTTACACCGGGGCCGGGCTCGAAGGCGGGTTCCACGAGGTTGCCGGGGCGGAGGAGAAGCTTGTCGAGGTCCCTCGATCGGCTCTGTTGCACGGCGGAGTTCGTCATTGCGAAGCCGTCTCTGGTTTCTCTCTCTAAATATTGTTTGTTGTTTGCGGAAAAGCGCAAGAAATCTATTTAGTCCGAAGCGCAAAACTCAAAAATCACTCACTGTGAAGAAGAATGGCCGAGTTTGGAGTGAGAGATGCTTACTGGTTTAGCTTGGCTTTTACGCTTGTTTTTCTCTCTTCGCAGTCCAAACGATAGTTATTACGCCAAATATACGTATCACAATTTTTTTTTTTTTTTTATGTCAAACATTACTTGAAGAGATAAAAAAAAATTTACGCCAAATATACGTATCACAATTTTTTTTTTTTTTTTTATGTCAAACATTACTTGAAGAGATAAAAAAAAATATTTATCATCCAAATGATATATATATATTTTTAAGGGAATCCAAAAAAAAAAATTATAACAAGAACTTGTAATAAACACTAATGTGACGTTTGATAAGGGGATCCGTACTCTGATTCAAATCATGGTTTATGATTCGTTACAGTATTTTCTCTCATAAAAAATACACGTAAATCGAAAATGGTTCTAACCTCATGATTTTAATCCATGAACCAAACGTCTGAAACTCGTTTTAAAATGTTTTTATTTGTTTTTTGTATGAAAATGAAAATAAAAACGTTTTCAATCTCAGACATAAATTATTTTTAAAAATACGTTTGACAGTTTTATCAAGAGATTGTTTTCAGTATAAAAAAACATATTAATGTTCATCTCTCTGTTCGAAAGAGAAGAAAACGAAAATAAAAAATAAAAAATGACTAAAAGTCATTTTTCATTTCTCTCTCATTCTACACTAAACTAAAAAATCATTTTCATTTATGTTTTTTGTCTTTATTACGCCAAATACCGTTTTAAAAACGTTTTTATTTTTTCTTTCTTAAAAAATATAAAAAATAAAAACAAGATCAATTTTTAACAGGGCCTAAATCTTTTATTTTTCTATTTTATTTTTATAGTAACTAGTCCCCAAAAATACTTGGTCAGTAAATATAAATTTACTTAGTCATAAATATGAATATAAATTTAAATTTATAAAAAAAAAAGTTAAGTAATTTTTCCATTTAAAAATTTTGACCATTTTTTCAATCATTTGAAAAATTGCCTATTTTGCGAAATGACTCCTTTTAATAATATTTGCTAACGCTTTATGTGACAACTTTTTTATACCATCTCTTTTCAAGCTTTTCTTACTATTAATCTTAAGAATGTGCCACAATGATAATTCTTCACTTTTCACTTATGTGAAAGCTATGGTGTTTTAAAATTTTTGCTTAAATAAAATTTCGTTAATACACCATTCCTATCAGGTTTCCTAGCCATAATTATAATTATATAGTCATCCAAGGTTTGTGAGTTTAACTCTAAAATATATGTATTTACAAACCCAAAATAATACGTGCGCAGCTTCTTCGGTCCAACCATATGTACAGCAGTTAACGAAGCGAGCTCCCCTGTTTATTGTTTTGCTTTGTTCTTACCTTTACCTACAGCACAGAGCAAACTTTAATGAGCTACAGGCTCAGTAAGTAGAGCTACAATTACACAATCTTATTTTAACATACGCATGCATCACAACACCCTAGGTAACTTATGCCAACCAATTCTTACACTTTATGCACGTGCACTATATATCTTTAGGGCCCTCCCGGTACTGCTGCCGGCTTTTTCACAATCTGACCACATGCCAATTTCTCAAATCACCATATCAGATTTCCCGTCATCACCCACTTAGCTCGAGGGAATGGCCAACTCATTCAAATCACAATTTCTCAATATCACAACATAGTCTCTGTCATCACCCACTTGGCTCGAGAGACTTGTGCGGCTCAATCACAATTTCTTCAATCACCATATCACAATAGGAGTCCTCTGAGGACTCGGCAGTACCGGCCTATCATGCATGCTATTATGTGCTCAATCACAAGTAAGTTAATAATCCACGTGATGCTCTACTTTGTGTACAATATATTAACATAAGCATGCCTTCACAAAACATACACATTGACAATGTCACAAAAATTCACATAATAGCGTACTAGACATTCCATAGAAAGTCTATCCAACAAAGTTTACAAGTACCGCAGAGAAGTCATACTCTACTTACTTGAGTTGATTAGCAAAAATCTGAATTTAACTCTCTTCGCTTCCCTTGTTCGTTTTCTTTTCTATAGTCCAAAATAAACAAATTAGCCATCGTTATTAGAGCTCAATAGCTCAGCCATAAATCAATTTCTAATTCATAATCATATTCCTCTGAAAATTGTAATTTCACATATTCGTCAATCTTGAGAAGAAAATTCATAAAATATTTTGTCTTTAAAAATTCCAAAATTAACTCTAACGAGCTATCATATGTCTAAATCCGACCTCTCTAAGTACCTCAAAAACAGTTTTCAATAAATCAAAATTTTGTTTTTCCTGTTTTTGACAGCTTTTAGAAAGTTTCTATATGAAACTTTCTATGCGCACAACTCGAGCTACAAAATTCCAAATGGGGTGATTTCAACTCTCACACGTCACTAATAACCTGTTCTAAATGGTAGCAAAAGTGGTTTAAGTGCAGCACTCCCATTTCAAAAAGGAGGAACCTCAGTTATTTATTTTATCAGTTTCTGGAAATGACAGTTTTACGACTGCTACGTGAATATTCACAAAATATTCTATGTAGCCTCAAAATTTACAAAATCAGTGCCCAATCAAAGTAGACATCTAGGGCTTTTTAAAAAACTATCATAAACTTGGTTTCAAGTCCATTAATACCTAAAACAAGACACATTACACCAGATTATGAATTGCTTATTCTTTTCTGCAGAATTGTAACAACTACATCCAACTTCAAAATTTTATATCTTAGGCTACAGTTATCTGTTTAAGGCGATTCTTGCAGTTATGTGAAGCTTAGGACATCTACTTTGTCTAACAAGGCTAATGCTTAAAAACTTATCAAATAATTGCAATTTTTAGTTTAAACATGAACATCCATGTTGTAATCCTTACAAACTTGCCATTTTGTTTATGATGCTAGATCATGATTTGCCTACGAAATGAGCTTTGTATTTTCACATACATTTTCCATTATTATCTCTAAAGTTCTTAGTAACATTAGGAATTCCTAACTAAGTAATTGAAGGCCAGTCTTTAACATCTAAAATGATGCTTGACTAAATCATAGATAACTCAGGTTAAATTTTCTGGGTTGAAAAACCTATCCGCCACGGCTGTACAAGCATCAAAGGACTTCGAGAAAATATCTTGTCGACTTATACTAGGATTAAATGTTTAACCTAAAATCATTAAGTTTGCTATAATTATCAATCTCGTAATCAAAATCCACAAGACATGCAGAAAAGTATGTAAACATAGTTTTAATTTCAGATTTTTGTCTCTAAGCTGTCATTACCAAGTTTAGCATCATGGAGATTTCAACTAGACAAAAACCAACAATGTTACTATGCTTTAAACATGAATATTAACTCTCATAACCTTATTTTTATGTGTTTCCCTCAATTTACCAACTCAATCAACATAAAGAGGAGCAACATGCAAATCTTGAACTAAATCATCAAACCACAACGAAAACAGAACAAGAAAAACAAGAGTAAATTCAGATTACTCAGAAAAATTGGTCAAAATCCTAAATTTGTATGAACCCTAGAAGGCCAATCTTTTTAGCTTTTCACTTGTTTATGGGATTAGAACCTCATTCAGCAACAATTAGGACAATGAGATCAAGGTTTAAACTAAAAACTGGATTTGGAGACAATTGATAAGAGAAATCAAGTCCCATACCTCTTTGATCATGAAAACCACTTGCAACACTTCAAGGTTCTACAAAATCATTCTCAAAATTGGGGTACCTAAAGAATTTTGAAGAAAGCCCTTTATTTTCTAACTAAATCAAAGCATTTTTTTTCTGGGAGGGAGATAAAGAGGGTCGGACAGAGAGATGAGAAAGAGAGACGTGAGTGAATTTTTTTTTCCTTCCTATAATATCCCATCCTCTCAACGTGGCTAAAGAAGAAACATTAGTGGCTTGGCTGAAGTTCCAGCCATGCCACGTGAAAGGCAGCTGGCCCTTTTTTTTCTTATAGTGTAATTTGGCCCCTAAATATGAAAATTCTTACAATCTTTGCCCCCCATGGCCTTGCAATTTAATCCTTAAACTCTTTTATCGTTTCTCTTACAATTCCTTCATACAAAAGTTTAAGCCTGAAAATTGGGACGTTATAATTCCCTATAACATACAAAAGTTTCGTCCCCAAAACTTAAAACAAAACTGAAAAGTATATCTTGTTCTAACTCCCAAGTCACTTCTTAGACTGCATGATTCCTCCAAATGACCTTCTCAAGTAGGATGGTCTTGTTCTGCAATTCCTTCTCTTTTCTGTCCAGAATTTTTATAAGTTGTTCCTGGTAAGATAGTTTTGAATCCACGTCTATCGTTTCATAACTCAACACATGAGATGGTTCCCATAAATATTTTTGTAGCATGGACACATGGAACACATCATGCACTCCAGAAAACCTCGGTGGAAAGGCTAGTCTATATGCAGCTTTTCCTATGCACTCAATAATCTCAAAGGGCCCAATGTACCTAGGGCTTAGTTTACCCTTCCTTCCAAACCTCATGACTCCCCGGACTGGTGCAACTTTCAGAAATACCTTGTCGCCTATTTCAAATTCTAGTGGTTGTCGTCTTTTATCCGTATACTTCTTATGTCGATCTTAAGAGACTTTCAATCTTTCCTTGATTTTCTTGATAGCTTCATTGGCTTGGTCCACAAGTTTTGGACCCAAATATTTACGCTTTCCTGCTTCATGCTAGTGTATCGGTGAATGACATTTATGACCATACAAAATTTCATACGGAGCAGCTTTGATGGACTCCTGGTAGCTGTTATTATAAGAAAACTTAATCAGAGGTAGATATCTACTCCACGATCTCTGGAGGTCTAACACGCAAGCTCTTAACATATCTTCCATGGTCTGAATGGTACGTTCCGTTTGACCGTCTGTCTGAGGATGCATCACGGTACTGAACTTCAATCTTGTCCTAAGGCCTTCTTGTAACTTCTTCCAGAATGTCGATGTAAATCTGTTGTCTCTGTCAGAAACTATGGAAAGTGGGACTCCATGTAGTCTCATTATCTCTTGTATGTATATCTCTGCTAGCTTATCAACCGTATAAGTTGTTCTCACTAGTAGGAAGTGAGTCGAT